TTTTAGGGTATAGGTTATATGGCTTATGTCTAAAACAAGTAATGTCTACAGTTAACATGTCACGGCAGCTAAGCTAAGAATTTTTTTTTTTGATTAAGAAACTTCATCATGGTTATATTGACAAAATATCAACTGTTCCTTTGTGCTATAAAATCCCATGTGATACTTCTCTAAATGAAGAGTTTGATCGGGGGGTTTTCTAGCTAACAATAAGAAAATTTCTGACTTTCTAAAGAAAAGCAAGAAAGGCTTTGCTGGAATTTCAAAACCCACCTTATCCCCCTAACCAGAGGGGGGCAGATAGGATGATGATCTCCTTTGGTATGTATCCAAGTGTGTAGCACAGGGACACTTGTGACAATAGGTCATTAACAATGCAGGACAGTCACATGTCCAGATTTCCCAAACACACTCTCTTCCAGCCAGGAATTCGGCCATCAAGATCTATTCCAGGTACTATACAGCAGAGAAACCTCTATTTCTGCCATGGGCTGTCCACGGACCATGACAGCTCCATTTAAAGGCCTAAGCTTCTTTCAAAATTACAGAGAAAAACTTGAAAGAAAAAAAAAAAAAAATTCTAGAAGGGCCCACCTAACAAACCAGCCCGATATCTTCTTCTGTAATTGCTAACCAAAGGATTGATGAAAATCAGCAATAACTAGTCCTTATTTAGCATTTTTCATCAATAAAAATGGAAGTGCCTTACAAATGAAAGTATCACTTCTGCTTTACAGGTGAAGAAACTGAGATAGAAAGCCAGAGAGATCTCCTTGGTGTCACCCAGCACAAGTGGCAGAAACAAAACCTAGCCCGTCTCTATCCTCGAGTGCTTATTCTCTCCTAAAAGAAAAAAAAGCTTCACAGCTTTTGGTTGCTTATTTGCCTAGAATAGTATTAGGGACAGCACCGTCTTTTCATTTTTAAAGGAAGAGTAAAGTTGGTCTACTCTCAGCAACAGAATTCAAATTCAGAGATTTCTACTCAAGCTATTAAAATATTTTCATTGTCAGGTTAGGGAATACATCAGAGCACAAGAGATTTACAAGACGAGTTGAAGAGCCCTAAAACCAAACAGCTGCATTCCTTTTTACTCAGCATTTCCTATACATTGAGCCTGAAGTCAAACCAGAACCAGACTTCCATTATTTAATGCTTTTATTTCCCCAAACAACAAATGTCACAGCAAATGACCCGAAAAGAAACCACAGAGGGCAAGAGTCTCAGTACCTATAGCTGTGAGGAAGGTCTTGTTCTGGTCACTGGAAGATAAATGAATAATCTAGGAGCACTGAGAAAGCCTCACGCAACAGAGCTATCAAGGTCGCAGCCTTTTCAGCTGAGACCCCTAAAATTTCCCGTTAATACTAAGAGACTCCCCCTGTGTGTGCCAATGAGCACAACTGTAAGAGCAAAAGTCACTCTCCTACGGTTTCTCTTCTCTCTTTTCCTCATCATCTCTTGATGCTCCATGGCTGTCGCTTCTCAGCTATACAGTGACATACAGAGCCTGTTATGCTGTCAGCGAGGCACCGCGCTGGCACAGGCTGCCTCTCTCCAGCTCACCGCTCACGCCGTCCCTGCTCGGCGGGCCACAGCGCATGGTCCCTGGGGCTTCACAGAGCCAATGGCACAAATGGGCATTTGCTTTCAAGACGTGATGCCAAACAAAATAATACAAGATTAACTATGTCTACTCTACTACTGTCTTTCAAGAGGAGAAGGGGGGAAAAAAAGGGGGGGGGTAAGGGGGTAAGAGGCATGGTTTCTTGGCTGTTTTTTAAAGACCAGAAGAAGCCATTCTGGTTTTCAGAAATGTTGCCCGCATACGCTTTCCCAGCCACTGGGAAGGAACTGACAGCTTTCAGCACTTCAGCAAACACCGCGCGGAGAGTCTTTAACAGAAGGAAGGAAGCAGAAGCCAGATGAGAAGCATGCGAGGGAATGCATCTATTAGCGGGTACAGGGAGAGAGAAGACAGAAGGGGGGGACGGAGAAAGAAAGGAGAGAAAGAAGCCAGCAGTTAGTCATTTTCTCATACAGATACATTTGGCTAGAAATGAGACACATCAATCTGGTATTCCTTTCTCCACCTTCAGAGCCAGTGAAAACCAACACCAAAAAAGCAAACATGAACACCAAAGGCCTCTTCAAAACTGAGATACAGCAAAATCTGGTGAGAGATGCCACCTGACGCTTTATAGCCTTGTCTCAATTCAGCAGCTCTCAGAAGCCTTCAGATGATAAGAACAGTGCAAAGATGAAGATTATACTGATAGTGGTAACATAGGACAGAGACCTTCCATTTTTTAAAAATACTTCTAATTCAAAACTGCTGCTGCTGTTTCAGATATCTACTGGTAACAAACTACAGCTTCTCACTTCCACAGTGCACCATTTCAAAACATGGCCTAAGACTGGCAAGGACAAATGAGTGGCCTACCAAAAACCAGCCTGAGCCTCCAGGACGGGCTGAGAAAGACTACAAGGTGAATGAACACCCATAGCAAATGGTACCTACGCTGTTTCTTTAGGAAACAGGGAGAAAAAGATTTAAATCATTCAGTAGCGTACTCTTATCCTACCTGTAACTGATTTAAGATATGTTTACATATCAAAGTATCCATATGCAGATTCTGCATAAAACAGGTTTTAGAAGAATCTTTGCCCAAATCATCATCTCTGCTACTTCCTGAGCAGAAGTGCGTTTCCTACATTCCTTTACTGGCTGAAAAGGATTACTGCAGTGTTGCCACTTGCCCCAATTTGCTATCCTAAAACAACATTTTGGTTCATAGCCAGTTTAGGAAAAGCTCCAGATAATACAGTTGCTCTGAACAGCATTGAATAGATACTTGATTCATAACATATTGTTACTTAACCCAAAGACTCACTACAGAACTTAATACTTTTGATAACATAAAATCAACACAAAAGACGACCAAGAAATATTTCTCTCTTCCCCACAAATTAATCAATAAAGCTAAAAACACCCACCCACTCTGAACTTTCATGGGAAAATTAATAATGAAGTAGAAAGATTCTGCTTACTTCCTAAAATGCCCTTTCAAGGACATATATAGTTCTGCACCCGGATGTTTTTACCTTTTGCACAGGGAATTTCAAAAAAAAAAAAAAACCAACAAACAAACAAAATCACAGAATGATTCATCATTATTTGCATGAAACTACAGCACAACTGAGATATTGAAAATCCATTTACCATACATATATATAAAAACACTTTCCATTAGTCTGTTTTCATAAGTCTTTTCATAATCTGCTACTGTCCTGTGTTGGACACATACTAAGCTCAACAGGTATTCGATTTGATATAACCATTATTCTCTTTTTTAAGATACACCAAGATAATGAGTAAGGACAAAAATGGAAAGGCCAAACGGAAGACAGAGAGGCAGAAACCAGGGACAGATAAAGGTCTAGCTCAGTATAAGCATCACTTCCCTTTGAATAACGCTGACATTGGCAACAAGATATTGAACATTAATACAAAAACTATCCAAGTTTAGTTACCATGCTAAAGCTTCATTCCACCTACAAATTCAAGGTAAATGCACCACTGAACGAAATGGAAAAATCATCTGCACATAAAAAGACATACACAAAACTCTTACATGTGTATATTACACACTGCCATATTATGATTTGTACAGATGTAACTCTAAATTAGAGTTTTAAATTTGACATAGAATAGATACAGATTTCTCTATGTAAAAATGGAGGCTAGCTCTTTCTCTCTCGTTATGTGTATTTCTAACAACTGGAGATGCCATGATAAAAAAAAAAAAAAAAAAAAACCTTTAAGACCTCTGAATAAAAACTCTGACAACTGGCACTACAGCCCTCTAGTTTATGGGCTTCAATTAGAAAATTCCATTTTAAGCTCCAAATAAACTTGACACTCCAACAAAGAAAAACAATCTTACTTATTTGCAGTGGTAAATTGTAACAAATTTTGGCTGTTTCATAGAACAATATTGGCTTTCCAAACCTGTGGTTCTGCTAAAGCTGCCCTCCTAATTATTCTTCTTCTATTAACATACTGGTAAACGATAGAACATTTTATGGATTCTTGAATTAGGAGCTTTATAAAGCTAATATACAAGAGGAAAGCTCTGTTGATTGTGATCTGATCTCACCCAGGAAAAAAGTCCAGACTTCCTTTGGTTCCTTGATCAGCTTGGGCCTGTGGACTCTGGTGACACCAGAGACTTTTGTTATTACAACTATCAAGTTTTTGGTAGCCTAGTGTTTATACAGCAATGACTCTTGTTCTGTGAAAAAAGCAGGCAGTATCCACAAACTGCAAGGATGCTCAATACAATGAATAATTACTTAGAGCTTCATTTTCTACATAACAACCTCTTTCTTATATGTAACTAAATATTTTAAGCATTTTATTAATTTATAAGCTTAGTTATGGGCATCTGTTTTTGGCATCAGCACACAGACTGCCTGAAGAGTTGATAGCCTATGTCCTTAAACAGTTTCTAAGTGTCCTCATAATTGCTTGTCACCTGTAAAAGAGGTTTAGATGGGAGACAAAGTTAACATATGGTGAACAGATGGACTCAGAACAGACATTTGTCAAGAAAGTACTCACACCAAAGACTTTTTGGCTTCAGCCTTTTAGGACCTTCAGAAAAGTCCTACTTGAAGCTTCAAGTCATACTAATGAAGGAAACATCTTGCCTCAATGACAACTGCGTGTTGTGAACGCTTACACAGCCAGCTACAAAGAAGAATCCTTGCAACTTTTCTGTTATCAGAGTCCCTCCACAAAGAGGAGAAACAAAATACTATTCCCATAGAGTACCCCACAAGCCCAAACAACCTGAATTGTTCATCTTTCTAAAATAAAAATGCAAGTAAGAAGTCATTACTGACTTTTTTTTTTTTTTTAATTAAAACAATTACAATAAAAAGTTCAAGAAAATCTCACCTATCATGCAAACTCTTCAAAATATTCCATTACTTACTGGGGAGGTAAGACAAGAGTTGTAGGCTGAGCTTTTGGCCTGCGTTTTGCAGATACTCCCATCTGGTTGGCTGAGCGTTTCAAAGACTGCTGATTCAAAAGGCCAGATGCTAGCCCCGCATGGTACTGTAACTAGATAATAATAATAATAAAAAAATACATTAAAATGCAGCCTACTGCAGTACTCACGTCACACCTCTATCATCTGTGCACATACACTTGATTAAAATGACAGTCAGTCAGTTAATGCATGGTATTTCATATATTGGTTGGATGGGAGATGACACCTACCAATACATACAGAAGAGTCTGCTGCAAAACAGAAAAGAAATGGAAATTATACCCCAGGGCAAATAAGATGAATCAAAAGACTTCCTCAAGTCACTAATTCTTCTGAAACTTGGACTTGCTTTTACATATTAAGACTGTTTCTCCTCTTTGAGGATCAACCTTTCTTACATTCTCCTGCTATTGACAAGTTACCATGCCGCTCTTACAAGGTGCTTCCCTCAGAAGACCTCATAGCCAGCACCGTATCCAGACAAGGGTAAGGCTGGAAGAAGGAAGGAGGAAGAAATGTGCAACCCCCTCACTCTGTAAGCAGACCTTTTAGAAATAATCATCTCATCTTTCTCGAACATAAAAATGCAAACATTCACAAACTAGTTTCTGGCACTTTATAAAGAAAATCCCAGGCCTTTAAAACAGCTGCTAGCACCTTGCTCAAAAGCGCTGCGACTGAGAGACTCGTGTTCAGTAGCTTTCTCCTCTACCCTTTTATTTTACTTGTCGATGAAAGACAAATTTAGGAAGGACATACATGAACCTGCAAGATCTTGAGTGCATTCTCACTGCCTGTAGATTTAAGAACTGCCACAACGCTGGGTCTGCCCTGAAATCAGCTTCAAGCGCAGCAAGTTACCTGTTCACCTCTAGACAGCTTCAGCCCACTTTCTCAGCTCCCCCTCCTGAAGAGGGGGAAGAAAGGGGAAAAAAAAAAAAAAAAAGAAGCTCCAGATTCAGTATCCAACAAATGCAGCTCTTTTCAGTTTCTTTAGTCCCACATCAATGTTTTCCTTAAATCCTCTAAAGATTTGCTCTGGAAAAGGTTAACAGCTTTACACATTAACAAAACTTATCACCTGACCCCTATATAGAAAAGGTTACAGGTAGGAAACCGCAACTCACAAATGTTCAGAAAATAACGTGGTCTTATACGAAGCTATTCCACAGAGGACTGACTGAAAATGAGGGAAACAAAGCTAGGTAACCTACACCAAAACGGCTACAAAAATGAGCGGAGCTATCCAGTGAGTCAGTTTGACTCAAATGTCAACGTTTAGAGCATCCCTAAGGCTCCACAGGCTCCCGATTTACTCGGCTGCTTGGCCACGCGGCCTGGGGAGCGGCA